TAGGATGTTCCACGCACTGTGCCAGAGCATCATCTATGGCTCTAAAGCAATTAGGACTTCTCAGACGTGTTTTCGGGCACTTCGAAAGAGCACTGTTTCCACGCTTGTTATCAGCGTTCGTTCGGCCACACACGGGTATGGAATTCATGGTTAACTCGCGACAGGATGGCTCTAGAACGTCCGCAGAGGCTGGCAACGAAATTGGTATAAGGTCTATATAACAAGACGTACTCCGAAAGACTGCAAATATTGGGACTCTACTCATCCCAATACCGCCGACTTCGAGGGGACCTAATATTGGCATATCACATACTGCATCAACCCAACCACCCTTGTCGTTCTCTGCTGACTTTATTTCATAATGATCATCTCAAGGGACATCCACTAAAGACCCAGAACAGCCACCTAGATTGCCGGTATTACTCGTTTGCAGTCAAAGTGTGCGGCGCATGGAATTCTCTCCCATCTGATGTAGTGTGTGCTCCTACAGTTGAACTATTTAAATCGTAACTTGATAAAGCATTGGAACATTTAAAATTTCAACCTCCGTGAGTGATCACACATTATTTTCATTGTTATTTTCTCTTTGTGAAGTTATTCAAAACATCCTGTAAAAATCCTATGGGGCATGATAAGCTTTAGCTTCGTTAAAACGCCCATAATAAAACTTTGACTTTGAAATAGGCGTCGCGTGATGGAGCTTTCAACGATTCAGCAACTGAACCTGCAAGCAAATCCATCTGAGATCGAGGAATGGGTCAAACTATTCCAGCCGTGATGCAGTATTCGCAAAAGTGGTGCACAGAATTAATCAGCCCTAATTCTTACTACTGGCGGCCGTGATCTCTGCTCCCTGTTGAAAAACCTCGCGTTTCCTGAGGTTCCGGCCAAACTACCATACGAGTCCCTGAATTCGTTGCTGCTCAACCACCTGCTGCCCACTGAATTCCAAGCACACGAAAGGGCCAAACTAAACTCCATGATTCGTGCCGATCATGTTTCCTGCCGTGACTTGATCCTTCAGCTGAACAAACAGGCATTAGGCTGCAACTACGGTGAGCGCCTGGAAGAACACATGTGTGACCGCTTGATGGCAGGCATTAATAATCTGACTCTCCAACGAAAGTTACTCGGGAAGAAAGATTTGACTTTTGCCGAGGCCAGCAAGATATGTGAGCAGCACGATGACCTGATGAAAGCTACTTCCAGCGAAGCAGTCACATTATTCCCACGACAGAAGACACGACCGAACCGAACCGACCTCCAATAGTCAAGTATATACCGAACCCGCAGCAATATTCATCAGACAATGACAAACGTATCGATCCGTGTTTGTCATGTGTAGCTTTCCATTTGCGCTCCAGTTGCCGTTTCCGAAATGCCAAGTGTCATGCATGCGGAAAAAACTGGCCATATCCGGAGAGTGTGCCAACAACCCGATTGCAATCTCACATAGCCATCGGTCGACGAGAAAACCAGCCCTGTATACTATTGCAATCATTACGATACACTATGCAGCAATGCGTTTTTACCTTTCTATTGAAGTTTACCACAGTATACATTACTTGTAAACCTTCTATCAATATATTTGCGAATTTCATATCTAAAACCTATTATTTTTGAGAAAATCACTACACTGCAGGTTATCAAGATCATATTCTGTTTTAAAACAGAAGTGAAATTCTGGACTATCATTTGATTGCTTGTGGTCATTTTTTCTGGTGTTCTTTCTGAAACCCTTGCGTAAACAATGATGAAGCACAACAGTAAGGTAAAGTCGTATATAAAAATTATTTTGAAATAGGTTCCCTCACTGGCGTAGCCCATGATAGTTTCCAGTTTGAGTCTACCTCCAGAAGAATACGGATGCATTACCCACTACCGAAAAGTTATAGCAAGGACGACACAGCTATCTGGTGCTCACGGTCAGCCTTTACATATTCTTGATTCTCGAAAATCGGATAAAAAGCATGGATAATAAAGTTAATTCTCATAAATNATTAGTATCGTCACCAGGGCACACAGACTCTGCGTCTGTGAATTTGCGTGGGAGAAAAAACAGGAACATGTTTATTTGATTTGTGTATCCTTTAATGAAAAAGATCTATTTTTATTGTTTTTAACATACTGTACAAACTGATTTCAAAAGAAAAGAATTTGTCACAATAGTGCTCGATTCGTTTAAGACTATTCCGGGAAATTTGAACATTGTACCTACCACAGTAAAGGCAATGTTTTTCTGTGGCTTTAGCATGACAGTAAAGTGAAATATGATTGGATAAAACGGATAAACCTAAAACCAGGGAAGGAGATAAAATGAGCATATCACCATGTGAGAGAAAGGTTAACATAACATTCATTTTGATGATACAGGGGTGAGGGTATAGAATTTTCTTGGTTGACCGCCATACGTTAAGTGAACTTTAACTGTTTTGCGAGTAATGCCTTGTAGACAATCTAGCTGAAACAAATCATACCGTGAACGTGTGCGAGGCTTTCGGACCCCTGTACAAAGTTCGTGGGCGATTATCGAGGCAGGTTCACTGTCGGATGTTGGCTACGGCAGAAGCGGTAGGTATTCGTCTGCACAACCCCCTCTGTGTGCCCAAAAAAAATTGTGCAAGCGCTAAAGCTTCCCTGGCCCACCCCCCATACAAACCGCATCGTGAGTAATCTCGATGGTCGGATGAGTGGACAAACAAACATGTGATCGTCGTGAACCCGATTTCCGGTCTCACGATGAAATCGGTTTTAATAATCTATGTTTTTATTTTATTTTCCCATGACAATTTTATTCCCAAGTAGTGATATATAGTGAGATGTATTGGCATGAATATGAATCTCTGAAAACGAGCTGGTTCGCCACTCGGTTGTTTTGTTTGAAATGTGCTCTCTGGGATTATTTCAATGAATGTGATATGGTTTGCTTCTAATTGGGGAATCAAATTATATAACTGAAAACAAATTTAAGCAAGAAACCAGTGACCAAACGTGAACTGATGTGAATACATATAATGCCTTGTAATTTATAAGAATATGTGAAATCGAGTATTTCCAAGATTTTTGGTGTTTATCGGATTTTACGTGAGCGAAATCACGAAAAGGTATCGCTCTGAAGATGTTCAAGATAAATGCAATATATAAATACTCACGTACTAAAATTATCAGATAAGCCTAGTGAGATAACAGCATATTTATATTGTACTGGGATATTTTTCGCTGTATCTCGTCAAACGCATAATATTGTACGCCTTCAATATTTGTGCACAAAAAAATTACTGGTATTGAGTATTTATTGTTATCGAGAACAAAAGTATCGAAATAGCGCTTCCCCTCCGCAAAAAAAACAAACATTACTAATTCATGCAAACTCTTGAATTCCGACGGATGTCTACCTGTGGATACTGGGCCACTCACTGAGGACTCGGAATGATTGAAATTGTCTCACGGTGGGTGAATATCTATACAAACTGATCGACTGGTTTCGCCGGTTTGTGGGCTATTTGTTATCTGTGATTTTAGTCACCTTCACTTTCTGTCCACTACGGTTGGCGATGCGATTAACATTAAAATATAGAAGTTCATATGAACCATGATTTTTCGCTTCCCTTTTGTTGTCCTGGTAAAGCCAAAACGAATGAAAAGGCTGTTTGAAATACCATTTGTGCCAAGCATACTTCATCTATATTTGACTGCCAGCAGGACCAAAGTTATGTAGAACATCACACAGTATAATTGCTCGAGAGAAAACAGAAACGAGTGGTGATGAAACCGTTCGGAAAAGACACTATTTTCTGTAGCCCTTCCTCCCCCTATCCCCCGAAGAACAAAAACCGTTCGCAGCTTCGATACCCAGCGGCATGTTTGCAAACGTGGTTTTTTTCTAGTTCTATCAAACCAATGTAATTGTATAAGCCCAGTGAGTAGAGCAAAAATGGCATTAACTCAAATTGTTTCTCTTTTTGTCTGAAGTTATTTATACATTATATGATGCAATGTTTTCATCAGTCTGTCCTTAAAGTAAGTTTCCCTATTAGTATGAAAAAGAATAGGAGGAACGTTGGATCCAGAGTTGATTATTCCGTTTCTATGGAAGCTTATTGAGGTTAATATCATAGTTCACACATTGACTTGGTGTGTTGGACCCAAGTAGTTTGTTATTGTTCTCACTTTGCTTTAACTGTTCTCTCGATCTTTTCCCTCATTGCTTGTCAAAACCGTCTTGTGCTTTGGCCTATGAGCGCATATACCTGGACCGCACCACACCAGAATGTTACGGCAACACCTATTGTTTTCGAAAAAGTGTCCTCTCACGCATGGCAACGGTCATGTTGAGGTCAGGCTTCAACCCCTGCTTCACTCGTTACTTCACAACGTGCACTGATGATGTTTGATGTCTGAACAGGAGCTCCCCCGTGCACCGTGTACTCGAGCCTGCATATTAGTGAGTGTGTGCAAATTGGCGTTTGTGTGTGGGTGTGCATCAATGTAACGCACAAGTCACAGAATGACGTTGGGATGACCAAATCCATCCATGAGTTGGAGCACATGTGATGCAAAACGCAATCATTTCCCGTGGGTCAAGGACCAGTAGAACAAAAGAAACAGACTTATTGCAGTTCACGTTTGCACACACACGCACACACCGTGCATTGTTACTCCGATACCTGGACGGCACATTATAAAAGCCGTTCCATTTTTGCACCCGAGCATTTCATTCGCTTTTCTGCATGTTCTTCGTTCCATCAGCGTACTGAACACTAAATGTTTCCGTCAGTTATTATAATTTCGTGTGAGTTACTCTCCTTTTTGTTTCCATTCACCAATGAACTCGATCGTAGTTCTGACTATTCCATACCAAATCCTATTGCTGTGGAGCACGTCTTTTGAGGTGAACGTACTTGAGTAAAATGTTTTTTCGTGGTTTTGATTTTAAAATTTGATTTCCCAATATGACAAAAGGTTATGTACACAACGGAAACTATCAATTTAACAGAAGATGACAGTTACAAGAGAGAAAGATTAGTAAACAGGCTTGACAAACAACTGAATATTGGAATATGAAAGTTGTAACACAGTCCCTGCAAGCAAAATAATTTGCAAGTTTCACAAAGGAAACCCTCTTGTACAAATCTGACTGAAAAATCCTAATGTTGTAAGGAACCGGATCAACTTTTAGTGTAGGGCTGTCTCATTTTTATTTATTGTGAACAGATAACAACCACAAAATACGCCATTTATTAATTTAATGTCAGATTCAATCTTTTGCTCGAAAATTGTTGAATGAAGCAAGCATTATGGCTGTGCGTCCTAGGCAAACTCAACGAGCTTTGGAAAACAAATTCCCTGAAAATGTATGTCATCGTGACTGGTGATGAAACTTTTAAAATCGAACTTTTACGCTCATCCAGGAACCAGTTATCAAAGTATTTACATTTGCCTTGAATATTCTATCAATTTCATTTATCGGAAACCATATTACACTGGGAGAAGTTTGTTCACAGCAATCTTTATTTAATTTTCTCAAGAGATTAAATTCAAGTTTGCCTTCTTGCTAGCGAACTGTGAAAACCTAACAGAAACTAAGAATAAAAAGCCGAGTGGAATGGGCACTATATGAAAACGTTATTCCGTAGTGTTAATTTTACATCTTATTAGATATCAGTTATGACCGCAAACAAAAAAATTGTACTGATAAGATATTTCAAAATGATGGATAATATTCGGGTGCACTCTATTTCGGACGTATTTTGCTGTGCTCAGTTCTTCTGTATTAAAGAGATATAACTGATATTTGACAGTAAAGCCATTTCTAGCCAACACCAACGTCATTGGCATAAAATGGATATTTCATTTCAAAACAACGGCAGCTAATAGTTGCAAAATGCTTCCGGTGTACCGTTAATAGCTATTCAAAGTACATGAGTACTCTGCTACGCACGCAATATTTGGCCTGCTTCTGTCACCGAAAACCGTCCCATCCTATTTGCATTTTTAGTACTTCTGACAACTGCATACGGTGATACTTTCAGTAAGTCAGTTTTTCATTGACCGTATTATGGTCGTATTATTCATATGCTTTCACACATAATCCCTTGAGGTTTTTTCAACGGTTATCACAGGTTTGTATGAACCGTACATTTAAGGGCAAAACAAAAGTGGAAACCTGTGCAATCAGAAATGTTATTTTTCAGATGCATTTCGTTGGATAGGTAAAAGTTTATATTCCATTGATGCGGAATAGATAAGACCTACAAAAATCCTATCTGTAGTCCTAATATTTCCATGATTAACTACCCTTTAGGCTCAAGGATTTGTGTGAACAAACTAGGTGATGTAAGAAATAAATGTCACCGCAGGTTTCCATTTATTAGACTATGGGATTAACGGGCTCGCTGAAATCTCCACCGTGCTCCGGTGTTAGAATATTCACATGAAATCCAATTGAGAAGTCAAAGTAACTTCTACGAGACTCCATTAGTTAATCAAACTGAACGAGTGTAAACGAGATTAATGATTGCGGACTGAATGCGGTTTTCACGCTGATCTGATTTTCACAGACTGGACCACCGTAATGAGATGAGAATATATTTTAGCAAATAAAATGCTGTCCTCACAGCCAGGGCATTAAGGATGCTAGACAATTTAAACACTACAATCAAAATAGCACACGAAATATTGTGCTGCGAATTTAGTGGTAGAAACATTACTGCAGTAGCTAGAATAGGTTTGATTGGTGAACAAGAACAGGGCCATTAATATAAGAGGCCAAGTGTTTTGAATAATTTACAGTCTAGAGAAACACTGGCTGTTTTAAAACAAAAAATGTATTTAAGCATACCCTTGTTAGTATGAAGTCAGATGTCTGTGGATCGCAAAATTCTATTACATAGTTGGTTGATATTCACTTTGTTTCGTTGTTTGTGTTTACTTTGTCCAAACCACAAATCACTTTTTGCTAGAATACAACGAAGATAAAAGCCATCCACGGAAACCGATTTGTTTTTGAAACAATAGATCCTAATTGGAGGTTTTTGTTTCATAAAATTATGGTTGAACAGTCCGACGGGGCTCATAATGAGAACACAACTTGGCAAACAAAATCGTTTTCACTGTGTCCTGATTAGGGCATCATTACACAATAAATATGACTAGTCACGGAGAGAGATTTACAAGGAAAACACAAAAAGATACATTGAAAACGAGATTGTCTGCCAGTTTGTATTCTCAAAAGCTTATATTTGAAATAAATCTAACTAAAAATTGAAATAATATATCAAACAAACAGACGAGTGGTTCTCATATATTCTATGGAGAAATTCCATAGAGAAATTCACTTAGCTGTGATGTCACACAATCACCGATACAAAATGGAAAACAAATGTCTTCCAAATTCCACAGTGGATAATATAATGAGAACACTGAACAATTAGTTCAATATTGCCTGAGGCATACCAACAATCTCAGTAACTTAACGAAAGAATAAGAACTGGTGAATCACGTTGTTAAAAGATTCACCGTTGAAATAACGATAATCTCGCCTAATTTCTCCAATAATTGATATTTATTTAGCTTGCGCATGTGGACAGCGGTTCTCAAACGTTACCGCAAATGTGAACATCGCCTCTGAACCGAAAGAATGTCTATACTTTTTGGATAACACTACGGTGTCGTTGACCGGATCATCTCAGGTGAGATCACGAAAGAGGTTCGGAAAGGATAATCTAAATAATGATGAGTATTTATCGTTTGTTGATAAATTTATCACCGTTTGTTTTTGTTTGAGTGCCCCTACTTGTTAGTGGTAAAAGCCGTTTAATATTTATTTTTCTTCGAACTAAGCCAAATATTTGATTATGTAACTTTAGTACCATAATAGACTCCAGAATTCTTTCGAAGAAAACGTAAAAAATTCGTTTACAGCTAAATTTGTTGATAATGTGAATATCTCTTTATGGAAACCCGAACGCCTTCATTCATGCGATCAAACATGTTGTTCAGACACTTTCTATAAAAACATTGATATTCTTTAGTCGCATTAGACATCATACTGGTTCTGTACATTATTTTACATATCTGCTTCAATAACATTCAGGTTTTGGAAACTTCCGAGACCATGAACTTCATTCTCCCATCGTCATCGGGCTACACTTCAACCAAACTGACAAATACCGCATATGTGAGCTACTACAAAACGGGACGCACCATTGTTGTATACACCGACACCAGTGGAGGTGTGAAGGACCTTGCCTTATCATATGCCCCAAGTGAGTTTCATAAAAATAAAATCAATTTATAAAGCAAGATAATACAACTGATAAACACTTTCAAAAACCAAAAACAGTTATTCTCATATTTTTGATTGCTAGGTTTTTTTCGTTTTTCACGTTTTTCTCTTTTATACTCCACTCTTTTGTTATCATTGTTGTTGTGTCGGCATCATGCTTTTTGAAAAACCGTTGGTAGAATTGTAACAGTTTTAAATTGTGATTAATGTTATGTGCACAATTAATAAATCATTTATTTCAAAATTATGTATATACCCCCTACAGGGTGAGGGATTTTACGTGAACACATAGTAGCCACCTGACTTATCAATTTATTCAAGTTATGACATTTTCATTACCGGTTTTATTTACTTTAAAATTCACGAAAAGGGATGAGCTCTTTACAGTACGTCGGTCGACAAAAGTCACCACAATTATAAAACAAAACCTTTTTCTGGAAAAAAATGAAGTTCCATGCAGCTTTGGTTAAAATATATATTTTATTCACGAGCTTTAACTTACAAGCCACCACAAATTTTTATCGTACCAATCAAAGTGGCGCAAACTCAACCGGTGATATAAAGGAACTTGGAACATTTCATTGGGAGATAAAGTTTGTAATACATGCTCTTCACCCGTAGCTGTCAATATACAGATGTGGTACTGGAAACTAAAATGTTTTCCCAAAATGAGAGTCATGTAGCAGGAGTTTGATCAATATCTCTTATTTATGCCAACAATGTGTATTTGTTGTATAAATCTAATTTATAACAAACACACCAGTATTACTTTTGTAGCTTATAAAGAATGATTCGTATGAAACCATTTACCCTTTAATGCAATCAAAAAAATAAATTATTCAGCATCAAATTATGGTTCATTTCAGTGGTATTGCAAAAAGAGTTACCACAATGTAAACGCTTGCGTTAAGATGACATACTGCACTTGGCCTTGTGACACAGGACTGCTTCTGTCTTACCGTTTATGTCTAACTCTAACACTCGGTCTATTTTAGGTATTCCATCGGGAACCACAGAAACGTCACTCTCAGGTAGGCGTATGCTGTTGACACATTATTTTTCCATCAATCCATCGTTTCGCTTTTTTTCTTTGCATTCTACTCCGAATATTGTTTTCACAGTGTTACTACCATTCACAGCATTGCTTCACTCGCTATGCATGACTCACCATTTTTTGCAGTCAATTAGGCGCTAGAAATAAACTGATGCACTCCAGTACTTTCATAAAAAGGAAACAAAATTGTGAGTACACCAGTAAGCGATCCGTGTCATACTTGCTGGAATCGTGTATCATGACGGTTTATAATGAGATATTATCTAAGAATTGATAGATTATCACAAATTACTGCGAAGTCCAAGTGCTGCTTAATACAGCTTAAGAACATAAATACGAATAATAATCATCCGTTGATTGGGAACAAGGGTGCGGGCTTTACAATGTGCATGTTTTCTTCTGATTAAATGGTCTTTACCTCAACCCCAACAGGCAAAAGGCTTTGAATGGTTATGCCTATACCAAATGGTGTTCCATCCTGTTGTGGGTCATGTAACATGCAAAAAAGGACTAGAAGGAGATCAAAAAACGCCAAAAAAAATTTATTTTGTTGGTATCATGAGACATTTTACTCGAATGGGGCCCCTCCCAATGCCTCCATAAGTCTACTGTGTTTCCTTAAAAGTGATTGTTTTAGTCAGATATAAGAATGTCTAATAGTAATGTATGCCGTAGTATGGGTAGGAAATTTAAATAAGACTATTTGATTTATAGCTTAAAACGCATGAAGGGTTTTCCGCATTTTTACGGCCACCAGTATTTATAACAGACTGCGTAAAACCAGCTGTACACAAATGGTAACGACAGAAACATTTAACGAATCTAAAATTTTGTCTTTAAAATTAGCTATGTTTGTTGAAAAAAATGGAAACATAGTTCCATTTTTAAAGAAAGGAAAAAGTATTCCAAATGGTTTGAGGGCAAAGTTACTGAAGTTCTTTTGCACAGTAAGTATAAATAAACGGCTCAATACTCGTTGTACCAGTTCAGTTGTTCGTCAACATGGTGGCATTTTAATCACACAAATGTCACAAATGTAATTGTGTTCTTATTTCTTTTTCCTCGTGAAGGCTCTTCCACTTGCGGTGGAATTCTTACCGGGAACGGAACTCTTGCATCACCAACTGGCTCAGCAGCATTGAGCTGCTTCTGGATTTTCCCAACAGATGCGACCAAAAGCATGCAAATTAATATAACCTCTTTCAAAGTGAGCTATGCAACGTTCAGTTATAATCATGAACTTATTATTGCTTTATTAAGCTTCCTAAAATGACTTGAATTTCTAAAATATGTTGAGTTTGGATTTTGGGAGCTAGCTGTATACAATAGGCCAATTCACCACCTATCATACAGTACTCTTCTATCTGTACCGTTTTGCAAATACCCTGCACTATAATCTATCAGTTGAGCCTGAGGAGTCGTAACTGAATAAGCGGTATCATTCACTATTATGTGATCTCTACATGCTCGGGAGGTTATTACTCCATCCGGTACAGTGTACTGCAGTCAAGATAGAAATAAATCAATAGAGGAGAGGCAAATTTGGACACACAACACTATCCTGTATGGTTGCCACTTTTATCAAGAGCTATCCAACTATTCTTCTCTATCACTGAGGAAATATGTGTTTTACGCTGTTTTATTTACACATTATTCATATACATTATAAGGAAACACTTACCACCAAATGTATTCAGCGCTTTTGATGGACTGAAACCTAGACACATAAGGCAAACAGTGCACGCCGCCGAAATGACGGTTTCACGTGACCAGACAGTAGTGGGTGTGAAACTTGGTTGTGCGTCAATCCCAAAATACCGATAGCAAAAAAGTATTTGCAAAACCTCTTCTTTCATTTCTGCATTTAATTAATTAATATGTGTGCGTAGAGCATTCATTTCACTTGATTGTGTTCCGCTATAAGTGCACGTTCATACAATCATGTCAAACAAAGAAAAACACTAGTTGAATTGACCCACTAGAGCAATGCTATGGACAAATGAGTTGTGTGGGTCAAGTTAAATTTTGACGTCTGTTTAAAACAAGATGGTGCAGGCGGTTGATGATAGCGGAGAAGAGGAAGGGAATAACATANTTGTGTTAACGAGAGATCACTGCACACGTCAAAAAGTATGCTTACGATTTCATTTTGTGTCATGCAACTTCATCTTCCTCGGAACTCCCTAATCCAACAGTTTTTCAAATAATTCAAACAGAACAATTGGTTAATCACGGAACTTATTAATGGTCACATCGGTCCTGGTGTTTAGTATGCCAGTAAGATATTACACGGCTTTCTTCATCCACTAAACCCTGATTTGTCCTCTTTTCGTTCCCATCCATCTGTATGGCATCTACCCTCTTGTGTTAGCATTTATCACAACTTCTCCTCGATATACCTGATTCAACTCCTAAACAACAAGCAACAGGGGGTCAGTGAATTTCTGTACATGAAATAAACCTTAGGGACATTGTTCACGTTACATGTTCTATGCGATTGTTCATTTTATTCGTTGTGATGATTAGTGTAATTTTTTATCTACGTATGAGAATATAAGCTTACAAAAATTATATAAATACACACGCTTTTCAAAGTGACCGTTTTGGTACAATCTACCCGAGCAGTGTAACTGGAAACTACACGTCTATTACCATTAAACATAGCACAATGAGTCAGTGTGACGAATTTCCGTTATACCATTTGACATAGAATAGCATAGACTTTTTCCGGATTAGAAAGCTTAGAAAGAATAAAAACTAAATTCCGAAGCCATGACGAATAGCAACTCATTTAACTTGCGAAAATTTTGACCCCTTATATCATTTTCGCATAAATTATGGTGGAGCTTATCATGGATTTAAAATTTTGAAAACTGGCTAGGGATCTGAATTGAGCCGAAAATTTCATTCTATGATGTAAATAATAAGTTTTCCACTATAAGATATGCAAGAGCATGACTAGGAACATCCGAAAACAATTGTTCGCTTAACGACTCATTTTCTCAATGCTACCATGAGAATATTTAGGCTTCTATGAAATTTTAGGCGTTTAGTAAATATTCAGTCAAACTGAGTATATTTTGGTTGCCTTTGCTGTTCAAGTAAGCAAATAAAAGTTTCTCAAACAGTTGCCAATTTCTAGATGATTTCTTAGAAAATAATATTTTCATAAATGATTGTCCAGAATTTTTGGAATAGATTTACCATTGTTCTACGTACAGATACCTAAACTAATAAGAAGAATTATTTGTAAATTATTAGATACTTTACCGATATACGCCATTTATTTTTGGGCGCCGAGCGGGTTGCTAGCTGCTTCATTCATGCAAATTTTTACAGAATGTCTTTTATTCAATATACTCAACCGAAGAGGTGCTTTCAAGATCGATCAGGCTTTCTGCAAATCCCAGGAATTTATTTTAATGTGATAAAACACATCAGGGCGATTTTACTTAGTTCATTTGTAAATCTTTTCGTTATTAAGATACCGTTCACATTCCTGAAACCGCCTCAGAGAGGAACATGACTTTATTTTAAGGTATCACCTTTTTTCTGTAGACTACAGGCACCTGTAGTACAGATGTTTTGCAGATCAACAGCTTTGATTCCACTGGAGCTCGATCGGTTGTGAATTATTGTGGTGGTACTATGACCGGCACGAATGTCGTCGATACGTCTGCAATCATTCGGTACACATGCGCCAGTTCTGGCCCGGCTTCTACTTTCTCCATAAGTTACGCAGCTGGTGAGTTTTAACATTGCGCTATATATACATATATATATATATATTGTGATTAGCAGTGTCTGAATGACTTTAAAAAAATCCTAGAAGAACATGAGCGGTTTTCGGTTGCTGCTGCTCATCAGGCATACTTATATGGTAATATTTATTCAGTTCATTCAGATACTTCTATATATATTACTCAAAACGCACTAGGCATGTTCCTGTTGAAGAATGTTTTTATCTTAAAATAAATACAATACACAATGATGGTTGACTCCGGATACCTGTAAAGATTACACTTCCGTGGGATACTTGTAGATGAAATCAGGATTTTCCCTGTAAAATTGTAAGAGGTAAGCATTTCTTAGGTTCTATATAGGTCATCTGTGAAATATCAAAATGTGGTCTCTGAAATTGTATTTAAACAATTCTTGTTTGCATACATTCTCCGTACTGAGCAATACAGATAAGCTGCACGCACAATCCCAGTTGGTTTATTCTTTTCGGTTTTTCATTACTTAATCCAGTATTCCAGGTATCGGCAGCATCTGTATTGGGATGTACTCGCCAACTGTTTTCCCTTCATTACGAATCTTTGATATTTATGGAAGAACTGCAATTGGGTATACTCTCCCGTTCCTGGAGTGCATAAACCTAGTGATAGGAATGCCATGGTGTATTTTAATGATAGGTAAACAATTCAACCACAAGAAGAATTAGTGGGATAAAGGTTTGCTAATAGTTTGGCACTATTAAAGGTTTCTTTGATTGTTTTTAACCACCTTCGCTGTCTACACTTGCCAGGGAGCCACATGATCAGATAAGTTGAACCCTGTAACTATTCACTGGGTTGGATTGATCGATTTGGACTTTATCATCATAGAATTGTGTCACGGTGTTCAAATCAGAAAAGTTAAATCGCTTGGAATTTGCAAAATAATGTACTGGCTATTCTATCTTGGACCGGAGAACATAGTAAACAGCGGAGTAGGATAATAAAATAACGGAACTATGGATAGCTCGTCTACTGCTCAACACATAGCATGTCTTTCTGTAAGGTGATATTTTAAACTTTATTTTCATTCTTTAATACCTGGCATGGTTGTTAAGACTGCAGTTTGGTACCTCGCACATAAACTTCTCTCAGCTGATGTTTTCTGATGAAATATCTCCCTTGTTTGCTTCTTGCAATTAAAATCCCAGGTACATCTACAAGCATCTCGCGAAAGTGCGATTGCGACAGACGTCCCTTGTCGCCTATCTTGGTGCACCCTCAAGTGTTTCACAGGGCCTCGTTGCTTCAATTCCGATTAGACCTGTATTTAGAGCTTTGTGTGATAAAATAATTCATTAAAAGGAAAATATCCAACAAAGTCCAAGTAGATTGTTGTGCCATGAACTCTTCTCAAATAACGACAGTTATTTTCATTTTTAGAAGTACCGTTTTTAGAAAATGCGTTTTGACATTTTCCTGTTTGGAATTGGTGGAAATGAAGACTGTCTCGGTTTCAACGCTGCAACGTACTAACATGTCTAGCTAATAATACTGCAAAACATACACGAGAGTAGGTTGAACACCATTAGCAATCAGTAGTCCTTTTTATCTAATACCCAGTTTTGAAAGTAAGGTTATTTTTGTGTTCCTAACATTGCATATAACACAGAGTTTGGTAAACAAAATAAACAGATAATAGATGTCAAAAAGAATCACGGAGATTTCCCATGAGTGCATACAGGACTATTCCAGTTCATTTGATGCATCCGTTCAAAATATTCAGTTTTGAGAACTATTATGACTGACTACTACTGAGATGATTCTAATTTATCGTATTTGAGGATAACTTCAATTTTGTAGACTCTTAGCAAAGGGGAACTGATACATCTTGCAACCGGGATTCTATAATACGAAAACATATTGCAAGCCTTAACAAAGGTGTCGTATAAACTCAGACCGAAATTTTATTAATGTGAAGCTGCCGTATGTTGGTTCAGAGATGGTCTAATGCTGTTTCTTTCCTTTTCAAAACAGTGACCAAGACTACGCCATTGAGTAAGTGAAATAATTAAATTTATCTTGACGCGTATGGACAGTTACTTTTTGGTGTTTGTTAAAACGTGACGAATTTCCTTAATGGAAAAACGTTTCTCAACACACGTAATATGATGTGAAATATGGCAGAGGGAACTTGGTTTTGGAATTCCGATACAGCCCCGTCCTTAGTAGTAGTAGACTTTCGTAAGTTGATGAACAGTAGTCACCGGTATGGATGATCAAAAATTAATGACGAAGTAATCAGATGTAGATAATATGTTACAGAGGTGGGTTCTACATTAACACGAAAACGTTTCAGTGGATCACATTTGTACCTCAGGTATAAGCCTTAAGTCTTAGGTACAAGTAAGACAGACAAACGCCTTATTGTAGCTCATGAAAACTGAAGTGCTTCTTGAGCACACTCGAATCTGTGTACCTCATTTATTAATGTATCGAATATACCAAAACACCGATTTTACTTGAATTGACTTATAGGGATGTAAATTATGAAGGGTGGTAGGTTGCTAAACAGCTATTATCTGGGGGCAATGCAAAATGGTATTGGTGGAACACAAATACCTGCAAGCGATGTTCGATTCCGGCAGCTAGTTATCCATCTCATCACCGGAGTGTTTAAACAAAAAACAGGTATATAAACACGAAGGACATTATTACCATGCAACTTTTTAGGTTTTTTTAAAATTTACCCCATAATAGAACAGCTTGAGAGAAAAATAAGACACATTTTTTTGTCTTCTCAATTTAGATAAGGCCGGAGTGGTTACAGTGAATACCGTCTTATGCGCACTGATTGGAATCTTTGTCACGGGACGATTCTCGAAAATCTGATGAGATGGGCTAATCGGCCGTGGATGAAAACAAATCATGAAAGAACCTATGTTAAAAAGAAATTTCCAAAGCGCACACCCTTTGTTGCACACTTTTGTTGTAAACGTAACTGCATACTCTCTCTCTCTCTATTCGGGTGTTAGACTCTTCCGCTGTACTGAAATATAACCTATCTTCTGTTGATGATTGCATATTGTTTATGCATAACCAAATTCTTACCTAGGTGAGCCTATACATAAACATCTGTCCATCCACCCATACCCACGTTGAACGCATTTTTATCCATTTGTTGCTTNAAAATTCTGACGCAATAAAGTAATTTAATTTCTGCAAAAATTATATGTTCCACTGTTCACAACTAGAAGAATGAGAACGTCTTTTACGTGCGGAAGAATTTTCTCATTTTGGACTTGCGATGCAGGCACTTTTGTAAACGTACTACAATTACCTGCCTCTGGTACGAATAGAAATTCTTAATCATATATGCCTAAAGTTGTGCGCGATTTAACATTTTATACCAAATAAGACAGAAAAAGTGACTAGGCGTAAATTTACTCAACGGTCTCGTTTCGACCCACAGATGTTCAGCGTTTGCACCTGTTTTGTAGATTTAATACCTACATAGATTCCCCTAGCGCCACAGTTTTATTTTCTGTGATATAGACCCCAAACTGTCAAAACATAACGAACCACGTGAATGGAATCAAAAAGTTTTAAAAACACAGAACGATGAAAACAAACAAGCTTTGTGATTTAAAAATTCTCCGAGTGATACAAAAGAAGTCGCAAAGCGTGGTGGTTCACTTTGCCTGTAGTCATCAAATCCAATCAGGATGAGTGATAAAAACGGACAGGATTTCTAATGTTTAAACAAATGCGAAAGACTGAATCGAGAGCACGGTGAAAGAATACATGTGTCATAGACACAATCGACTTTTTTTGAAGAAAAATTGTTTTTTGCCTGAATTGAAGATTGCTATAAATAAACGTTGCGGTAGATAAAATATTTACTGCAGAAAAACCAAGCTAAACTTCCGATTGTTCAGTGATCTCAATTTTCCCCTTTGTTCTGTAAATAACCACTCAACTACTCTTCTCTCTGGTCAAACGCATCTTATCTGTACGACCACAGGGCTGATTAGATAACAATGTCTTCTATTTTTTTCTGAAAGGATTTCCTAGCTTTCTAAGGTCTTTGAAACCGTATTCCCAGGCTCAAATGCACAAATCTACGAAACGCAATGTGGTGAATAAAGCATAATATATTCATATGCTATTCTTTCATTAAAGTACCAGGGGTGAAACTTTTGTGTAATTACACAGGGTATGGCAATGAAGATCACAGGCATTTGAAAAGTTTGCGTGGAATTAGTTAGTTGGCAGGAATTTTCGAAAAAAAGTTTACACTTTTGAGATTCAGAAATTAAATTAAATTCTTCTGTAGACAGTTGCTGTTTGTGGGAACTCATTGGAGTGATTTTACAGTAGAATCAATTATTGATTTTTACGACTAGGTCCATGATCAGGTAAGATCTCGTTTGGTTTATTCAGATAAATATAAATTCCTACACCCACATAGTGACTATGAGTTCGATCCAACGGAAAGTGAATCCAAGCGAGAGGAATCAACTGGATTCAGTTCCAAAGTCTTAGTGCATATTAAATATCAATATAGCATAAAAACGGCGCATGGGAAACACATCTCAACACAAACAAAGAAGGATTAGGGCATTAAACATGATAGATGTCTGTTTATTGAGTTGATTGAAGTGTGCCAAGCCTCGAGAAATTCTGTGGCGTGTTTTGACCGGGTTTGGTAGGTAATTCTGACAGATTCGAAGTCAAATTGCTGTCAGATGACTGATCCAGTTATCAAGCTTTTTTCCCAGAGTAATCCAATTGGTGATTATTTTTAAGAAATAGGAAACATTGATGCTAGGAGTGTATCGAAAAACCGATGCGCCATGTGTTGCTCTGTTGTAAAACCTGCCTTGAGAAAGGTTACCTATGGTAACCGAAACGTCGGCGAATATAGTTCTCTACTGACATCGTTGCGTTATTAACACTATAACATTCACAATCAAATTGATGTCCTTCTTGATCTTCGTGGAGGGAAATCAACCATAGTGGGTCATGTCTCCTAAATTCCGATTGGTGTTCACGGACCCTTGTTGACAGTGTTCTCCCAGTTCGTCCGATATAGTGTTTTGGGCAGTTCTTCCAGCTTATTTTGTAGATGACGCTACCCTTGTTCTTCTCCATCGTTCTCGCCTTGGTTTTTGATAGAAGTCTCCTTAGACAGGCACATTGAGTTGGAACACGTGTACACGCCAGTGCAACTCAAAGACCAAATGACGCAACGAAATAGGTCACGCCGTGACCTGAGAACGGAGGGAAATCGCAACCAGGAAGAAAGGACAACCTCCTCACACCAGTTCAACGACGAACCGAGTCGAACACAATGAGAACAAGGGACACAAATAGTCGGCGGAGAAGAGCACATTTATAAACGAACGGGTACAAGCAGAACACTGCCACTTTACAAACACTGATGATGTCACCTCGGATTGCGATGAAACGTTTACAAACAACTAGCCAAGCTCGGCGAACAGGCGAAATGGAATTCGGTTCAGCCGAGCTACGAGAACCAATTTTCAATATTTTGTCCGCATGATGATGTGGCACGCTTCAAACGTGGAACTTAAGTGCAGTGCTCAACTAAAGAGTACGCGATATTTAGAGTTGTATAAAATTCAAAAGTATCTATCTATCTATGCTTCATCCCTGTCAAACGAAAAGGAAAATTGAAGCATGCAGATAGGCTGAAGGGATATGAGGCATAAACTGACGCTGTCAGGGATATTTAATCAAACCTTCGGAGGTGAGCAGTACCGGGAATGATTATAGTAGAGTACCGCATTCGCAATTTTTCTTAGATGCGTAGAAAAGAATGGCAAGCGTTGTGTAGAGATGTGTAATCTAAGTATCAAAGCAAATATAAACAATCGCCTGATGAAGATCATGCGTAACAGCCTGGGTGGGTCCTTCGAAAAATTCATGAAATTTGGGTTACATGGAAATTTAGTACTGAGTGACTAGTCAACCAATTGAATACCCTTGGGTACTCAACGGAAAATCAATGCGATTGGGTTAGGCAAAAGCCATTCAGATTAATCTTGCTGCAATATACAACCGAAGTACCGTATAATGTTATTATTTTAACCGGTGCCGATGATAAATAATAGCGCTTGTGTTTTGAAGTAAACTATAACTACCCTTATCGAACAAGTAACATCAAGTTAGCCAACAGTTCAATCTGAATAAAGATCTAGCACTGTTTGATTAAACTATTACAACTACCTCAGTGAGCTGGAAGACCTTCCAAGGTGATTCGAGCGAACGTTCATATTACCGGCCTCGAAATATATTTTAAATGTATCTATTTACCGATGTAAAAGATATCGCAGGCTAATATTAATGTGAAAAGAGTTTTTATTAAAGCCAAAGTGACAAAACAACAAATTATATGAAGTGCTGGTGAGTTCTATTGTTTTAAAGACTGAGAAAATGGCTTTGCTCGCGATACGATTGCTTGAGATTTGCATTCGTAAAAGAACGAAAATTTACGGGTACTGGCAGTTCCCAAATGGGAATACACAAAATCCCAGTACAAGAGTTTATCGCAACTATCGGAACTACTTTTATCAAAATCAATAATTACAACCGTAGGGATTAAAATATGAAATCGTCTGTGGTATACTACTACCTAAAGCAAATCGAATAATTGATAGAACACAGGTAATCAGAAAATTGGGAACTGTTAGCTGTAAATGTATGGGAAAACAGGCACATGGATTTTAGAACTTGGAATGTGGGATGACATGTTTCACGCCACTAAATGAAGAACCCTTCCAACGTCTAATTTGAGGCGGAAGAAATCCAGGACGCCATTCATCAATCTGCAACGTTGTATTTCACCAGATGAAAATAACTTAACTTAGAAAGATGACATTGGAAAAAAACTTCCTGGTTTTGGACAGCATCTAAGTCCCCTGGATGATCAGAACAACATAGATTAATTATGAGAGCCCAACAACGAATCAAGATAACGGTGGACTATTTCGGAAAAACTTCCGCAATTGGCTGAAGATACTAAACTTGAAAGCAAGGTCGGGTTATTAGGGTAGACAGCCAACCGGGAGTACCAACAAAAGTATAATAGCTACTTTCCAGACCCTGCTTTACTTATTCCTTGATAATCGAATTTCAGAAGAATTGGCATTCTCAAATAAAACAATTCCACTGGTCCCATTCGCACGTTTGTAGATTCGTAGATCGATTTTATCTATGGTGCGCTTGGGTTACCTTTAAATGATGAGAACACAACATTGGCAAACAAGCTCGTTTTCAGTGTCTCTCAATTATGCCACCATAACACAATATAAATGACCAGTTAGATAAAGAGATTCACGAAGGGAAGTAAAAGTGAATAAAATATTCAACAGTTTACAACACAATTTGTCCCCGCTTTGCATGTTGGTGACCTGAATTCGTTAGAAGTAAATTTTAATTTGTTACATGATACATGGCTTGCCGCTTGTCAGCAATCCGATTATGCTACCTTGAATGCTTACACTAATTGCTTTTGAGCGCACACATGAAGAAACTGAGAGTTACGAAGAAACACGGAGGTCATCTTAACGAAACCGGACAGGGAATCTGGTATAGTCAAACATGATAAATCGGAGTAAATTGAGAAAATGTCAACGGTTCTAAATGGTGGATCGAAATTTACAAAAATGTCCAAAGAAAATGAGAAAATTCCTCAAAGAGAAAAGACTCTTTGTACGAGATAACGAATGCTAAAACAAAAGGGCTCTACAGATTTCGCCACGTTTGGCCGGGTTCGTTCAACGGGTACTACGACTCCATGATAGTATGCGCTTCCCCAAGTGCATTAAATAGGAGTTCCCCTCCGTCCAATCCTGGACATGTGCAAC